CATGTTAGCCAGACTGGTCTCAAACTCCTGACCTCAAATGATCTGCCCACCTTGCCTCCCAAAGTGCTAGGATTACAGATGTGAGCCATGACGCCTGGCCTCCTATGTTTTCTTCTAGAAAAAACTTGCAATTTTAACAAGCCTTCTGGGAGAGTCTGTTGCACACTTCCCTAGGTTCTGAAGTCAGACCATATCTACCACCTGTGGACAGAGTGCCTTGTCTGACAGGTTGAATAACTGGGAGCTCTTGTGTCTGCAGGAGTGTGTGTGTGTGTCTGTGTGTGTGTTAATGGCTTCTGCATCTGTGACCAGCAGGACACCATTAGATCACTTCAGCTTCAGGAGTCACCACAGGGAATCCTGTCCTGTGCGTGTTGGAGACAAACTTTAGTGTCTCTGTTTTGCCTTCTGTGCTAGTTTAATTCCTGCCTCCATCACTGCCCCTTCCCTGACCCATCTGCTTCCCTAACCGTGGATTCCATTCCTCTTGCCACTTAAAAGGGAAGAGGCTCTGAGAAAAAAAGGGACAGGTAGGGGAAGCAGCAAGGTCTGTCACTCATATACACAAACACATGAGCAATGTCATGTCTGCCCTTATATCTAGCAGCACCTATGTTTGCATAAATCTGGCATCAACAGGAGAAAGCACTTGCAAATATCCATACGCAGGCTACCACATCCCTCCACACTCCAGCTCATCCTCATTGCTGTATTTATCACAAGGGCATACAGTTTTTGTATAGTCACCCTTTTTTATTTTTATTTTTTTGAGATGGAGTTTCGCTCTGTCATCCAGACTGGAGTGCAGTGGCGCAATCATAGCTCACTGCTGCCTCAAACCGGGCTCAATCATTCTGTGGCCTCAGCCTCCCGAGCAGCTGGGACTATGGGCACATACCACCCTGCCTGGCTAACTTGAAAAATAATCTTTTTGTAGAGATGAGGTCTCACTATGTTGCCCAGGCTTGTCTCGAACTTCTGGGCTCCAGTGATCCTCCTGCCTCAGTTTCCCAAAGTGTTGGGATTACAGGTGTGAGTTACCATGCTCAGCCAGCCAAGGCCCTAGGTTTTAATAGAAGTTGGGTGGAGAAGGCTGCTCATCCTGTTTCTCCGACCCCTACTTCTGGTGAGGGGTGATGGGAGGGAAGACAGTTACTTTGCCCTTCTTTTTATTTTTAATTTATCAATTTGTAAGTTTTTGGTTTTGTTTTTGTTTTTGAGACAGGGTCTCACTGTGTCACCCAGGCTGGTGTGGTCAGCTCACTGCAACCTCTGCCTCTTGGGCTCAAGCAATCCTCCTACCTCAGCCTCCACAGTAGTTGGGACTGCTGGTGTGTGCAACCATGCCTGGCTAATTTTTGTATTTTTTGTAGAGATAAGGTCTTACTGTATTGCCCAGGCTGGTCTCAAACTCCTGGGCTCAATCAAACCTCAGCCTCCCAAAGTGCTGGGATTACAGGTGTGAGCCACTGTGCCTGGCCCAATCTGTAGTTTTATTTGTTTAAAGTCAAGCTCGAGGTATAATTTTTTAATACATGCAGTATAGTTCAGTTTGGGTTCCCAGGGCCCTTGCATCATTAGTTTATTTCATATTCACTCATGGCCACCTGTGCCAAGACCCTGCCCTCGACACACTCATACTTGGTAGGGAAGACAGCTGTGGAAACAGACCAGGAAGATTCAGTGCAGTAAGGCCAGGGATGGGGGTGAGAGGGAGCTGGGGGTCAGGAGAGGGAAGCTCTGCACAGGGGATGATGCCTAAACTCAGTAGAGTGGAGAAGGACCCCTGAGAACCAAAGGAGCACTGTGGGGCTCAAAGAGCTCACAGCCTGGGAGTCACCACATCCCAGGAGGCACTTCACACTTGTTCCATGTGGCCTGTGCTGGGTTTTTAAATCTTTGAATCATTGCCAATGCTTAAAAATCCAGAGAGTTCACATAAAAATCCAGAATCCTAGTTTCAAAAACCAGCAAAACAAAACAAAAACACAAACAAACCAGGAGCTCTGTGTCCTACTTGGCAGGACTTCGCATAAGGTGCCCCTCCAGCCTGCCAATCTCCCCCACAGCCCACTTACTATGTTACTGGTTGAGCCCCTCCTCCCTTGAAGCCTGGAGCTGTGCTGTCCACCAAGGTGGCCACTAGCTACGTGTAGCTCTTGAGCACCCAAAATGTGACTAGTCTGAATCGAGATACGCTTAAGCATAAAATGTCCATTGAATTTTGAAAACTAATTTCAAACAATGTAAAATATCTCACTAATAATTTTAAAAATATTGATTACATGTTGAAATGATTCTATTTTTTATGTATTGGGATAAACAAAATATACTAAAATGTTACATATTATTTACTATTATATTGATTAAAATTAACCTCACATGTTTCTTTTTACTGTTTAAAAATGTAGGCCAGGCCTGGTGGCTCACCCCTTTAATTCCAGCACTTTGGGAGGCCAAGGCAGGCGGGCGGATAGCTTGAGTCTAGGAGTTCAAGACCAATCTGGGCGACATGGTGAAACCCCATCTCCATGAAACCCACAAAAATTACCCAGGCATGGTGGCACGCACCTGTAGTCCCAGCAACTTGGAAGGTTAAGGTGGGAGGATCGCTTGAGTCTGGGAGGTGGTGGTTGCAGTGAACTGTGATTGTACCACTGTACTCCAGCCTGGGCAACAGAGCAAGACCCTGTCTCAAAAAAAAAAAAAAATGGTGGACACTAGGAAATGTAAATGTATACACGTGGCTCACATTATATTTCCCTTGGTCGCTTGGGTCTAGAGCCCAACAGAAAAATGGGGACTCAGCAAGAAGGGCAGGCAGAGCCAGAACACAAGGGAGGGTGAAGGAGGCCATTGTAACATGATGGTTAAAGCTGTGAACTTTGGAGTCAGTGCTGAGAGTTCAAGGTTCATTTCTGCTCCTTACTTGCTGTCCCACTTTAACGTCTTTGAACTTTCAGCACGTGGCCCTCATTGACAGGTGGCATTTTTTCCAGCTCTGGAGCTGGGATTTGAGTCTCAGGGAACTGACCGGGCTCTAATGAGTTTTAGGATGAGTTTTCAGCTGCAGAATGATGCATCCAGACGGAAAGATCCCTCTGGACTGGAGCAGGGAGACCAGAGCAAGGTCTGTGGAGAAATTCACATGGGAAGTGAACCTGTGTCTGTGAGCATGCAGAGGAGTGGCCACATCCAAGGCATATAAAGAAATGAAAGTCATAGGATGGGCAGAGGTGGGAGAAAAAAAAAAAGAAAGCTGTAGGATGTAGTGATGGATGGGATGTAGTGATGGACGGGATGTGGTGATGGATGGGATGTAGTGATGGACGGGATGTGGTGATGGATGGGATGTAGTGATGGACGGGATGTGGTGATGGATGGGATGATGTGGTGGGGGAGAGGGTTGCAGAGGGTATCACAGAGGTTTCTGGCTGGGCTGCTGGGTGGGGGTGGGGAGGTTTATCCAGAGAGGGAGAGACGAGACGTTCTGCCAGGCTTGGGATCAGGCCAGCCTTTCCTACTTTTGTATTCCTCAGGCCTGGCACCATTCTTGGCATGCAAGTGCTCAGCCAATATTGCCAAGAGGCTGGAAGGCTAAGAGAACCGCCTTTGAGACTGCAGTCTTGGGTTTGCTACTGGTTCTCCGTCTACCAGCTGTGTGATCTCAGGCATATTACTTCACCTCTCTGGACATCAGTCTCCTCATCTGTAAAATGGGAATAGTGATAAGGGTAGCCCCTTGTGGGTTGTTCCAAGGACTGAGTGGGTTTATCTATGGGACCTCACAGCAGTGAGTGCTCAGTAGCTGTTAGTCCCAGATTCCACACTCGAGCCTCACTCCTGAGGCAAGGCCTTGTCTACCAAGGCTCTCACCTCCTTAAAGGAAGACAGGGCCAAAGGATTCCACTAAAGAAGCAAGTGCTTCAATATTCTCCCTTCCCCCAAGGCTAAGCAGGAGGATAGAGGTTAGACTGCAGGAAGAAATTCCTTTCTCTTATAGCCAAGAATGTCAGTGAATTTTAGAAAATCAACTTCTGGCCAGGTGTGGTGGCTCATGCCTGTAATCCCAGCACTTTGGGAGGCCAAGGTAGGTGGATCACAAGGTCAGGAGTTTGAGACCAGCCTGGCCAATATGGTGAAACCCCATCACTACTAAAAATACAGAAATTAGCCAGGCGTGGTGACGGGTACCTATAATCCCAGCTACTCGGGAGGCTGAGGCAGAAGAATCGCTTGAACCTGGGAGGCGGAGATTGCAGCAGCGAGCTGAGATTACACCACTGCACTCCAGCCTGGTGACAGCTAGACTCCATCTCAAAAAAAGGAAAAAAATTAAAAAAAGAAAAAAATTAACTTCTCAAATTCCCTTCTCTGGTCTTCAGACAATTAGCAGATAATTAGGGAGTGTTTGGGGAGCGGGTATAGGGCCTATCTCCTGGTCTCCTTTAGCATTCGCAGAGTGACTTGGCAGGAAGAGAGGACCAGGGCTGAAGGCATTAATAGCGCAATAACCTCCCTGTCCCAGGGATGTGGAGCCCACAGTCTCCAGGCCCCTCATTGATGCAGGGGCGGGGAGGAAAGACGTGGGAATCACAGGTGGGAAGAGGGAATCTGGGGACTCCCTGTGATTGCCCAGCCCTGGCCTGGCCCTGCTGCAGGGCCCCAGGGGTCCTGCCTCCAGCTCACACTCATATCCTTACATCCAAGTCCCTCTCTGATGGCATCCGCTAAAACACCAAGATTCTGCTGGAGCTGTTTGAGTTTAAGATAGAACCAGCTTGGTTCAGTGAGGGGGACACAGATTTAAGAACCAAACAGCTCGGAGTTCAGTCTCCGAGTTCACATCCATCAGTTGAGGGAACTTGGACGAGTCACTTTCATCTCACCGTGCCTCAGTTTCTCCCTTCATAAAGCAAGGATACCAGACCCTCCCTCGAGTGGGGCTGTGTGCGATGGTCGCTGGCTCAGTGTTTCCCTCTCCCTGCTCTTCTCCACAGTGCCCATCCCCTCCAAAGCTAGCAGCCTCTCAGCCCTCTCCTTGGCCAAAGACAGCCTGGTGGGCGGCATCACGAATCCTGGTGAGGTCTTCTGCTCTGTGCCCGGCCGGCTTTCACTGCTCAGCTCAACGTCCAAGTACAAGGTGACGGTGGGGGAGGTGCAGCGGCGACTCTCGCCTCCTGAGTGCCTCAACGCCTCCCTCCTGGGGGGTGTCCTCCGCAGGTAGGAAGGCCAGCCCTCAATTCCCCACCTGGCTGGATCCCTGGCCTCTTCAGGCCTTCTCAGGGCATCAGAGAGGAGGCCAGTCTCACCTAGCCCCCCTGCCTCAGTCTCCCTGGGAGGGGAGGCCCTGGGGACTCTGGATTGTGCATGCTGTGGGGGCCGGCCCAGGTCCCTGGTGGCCGCCATGTGTCTGTGGGTCTGGGGTGGGGAAGTGGGCAGAGAAAGAAGCCTGGGCACAGAGTAGGAGAACTCATCCACACTGGTCAGGACGAGACTGGGTCTGGGGAAGAGAGAGGGCCATCCTCAACCCCCTTCCAGGAAGTGAACCCCAGGACCCAAGGCCCATTCTGCGTGGCAGCATAGGCCCTGTGTGTTTTGGGGTGTGGGGCATGGTAGTCCATGGTTCGTCTTCCTAGACCTGTGTCTCTCTCTCTCTCTGTGCATGTCCTTGTGCCTGGGAAGGGTATTTCTGCTTCAGGGCCGTGAGCTTGGATGAGTCTGAGGATGGTGTGGACGTGTGTGTGTGTGTGTGTGCATGTGTCTATAGTAGCGGATGGCCAGGAGCATGTTTCCATGAGTGTGAGTATCCTGTGTTTCTTCTAGTGGGATGTGTGGCCTAGAGTGTGTCCTGCTGTGTGTGTGTGTGTGTGTGTGTGTGTGTGTGTGTATGATTGCCTGTGCATCTGGAGCTAGTCACATGGATGTCTGGCCATCTGGTGTGTGGGAGTGGCATTTGTGTAGTCATAGGAGATATCTCCTTACTCGTAGCATCTTGGAGGATCTCTGTGGGTCCCTGAGTGTCTGTACATGTGTTCCTGGGACCCTGACTTGGTGTGATCCTGTGTCTCTGTGTCCCTAGGTGTCTGAGTCTGTGTCTCTGCATATGTCTGTCTGTATTGGTTCTACGTGTCTCTCTTCTTTCACGTGTGTGTGTGTGAGTCCCCAGGTGGCTGTGTGTGTACCTGTGTCTCCCCAAGTGTCTCTCTTTCTGTATGTCGCTGTGCGTCTCTACATATAGGTCTGTGTATCCCCGGGTAGCTGTGTGTGGCCATCTGGTGTGCTAAAGATCCCAGGATGCCCCACCCTGGCTGCCCCTGCTGTTGAGAGGACTAGAGTGAACTGAGGGGCTCCTGGAGCTGGGTGCTGGCCCCCCACCTCTGTCTTGGCTGCAAAACCATGGGAGATTAGGAAGAGGTTGCGCCCTTGCTGAAAGAGACCCCAGAGCATCCCCAGGACCAGACCCAAACCTCAACAGGGGCTGGTGGAGGCAACAAGGCCCTTTGGCGGTCACTTGGCCTCCACGCGTTTCTCTTGTCTTCATAGTTGTACGTCTGTCTCTCTCTGTGCATGTCAAGGGCCAAGTCCAAAAATGGGGGCCGGTGTTTGCGGGAACGGTTAGAGAAGATTGGACTCAACCTGCCAGCTGGCCGTCGCAAGGCTGCCAACGTGACGCTGCTGACTTCGCTAGTGGAAGGTGAGTGAGGCCTGAAGGTGGGCATGGGAGTGGCTGCGAGGGCAAGTGAGTTGTCTGGTGTGACTGTCTCTAATGCAGGCGGGTGTGTTGAGTGGTGAGTGTATCCGTGTAAGTGTTGCAGTATCTGTGTGCATGCTCTCTGTCATGTGGAAGGCTTGTTTGTGATTTCTGTGTGTAGTCTTTGTACATGTGTGCATGCATGTGCAATGGAGACCTACTTGCAGTGTGCGTGTATGTGTGCGTGGGTGTGGATGTGTGGGTGTGAGTGTGTCAGTGGGGAGTAGCCAGTGTTTGGATGTGGTAAAGTGATGAAGGGGGTCACAGCCCCCTCCCCTGGAGGTTGGTGCCTCTGGAATACATGGTGGGCCCAGCTCCCATCTCTGAGCTCAGAGCCCAACCCTAATGGCCCCAAGGGAGGGCAATGGAATCAGGGCTGGAGCTGGACTGGGAAGGAAAGTCAGAGGGGGCATCTACAGAGGCAGGATGGAGCAGGATCCCCCTGGCCAGGGGGTCAGAGGTTCAAAGCTGTGTTCCAGGCGCAGAGGTACACCCGGCAGTAGTGACAGCTCCCCTCCCCCCAGGAGAGGCCGTGCACCTGGCCCGAGACTTCGGTTACGTCTGTGAGACGGAGTTCCCAGCTAAGGCAGCCGCCGAGTACCTGTGCCGACAGCATGCTGACCCCGGGGAGCTGCACAGCCGCAAGAGCATGCTGCTGGCCGCCAAGTGAGTGAGGGCACCACGCACAGGCACATGTGGCTGCCATGCACAGACAGACATGTATGGGCACAATGGACACCACTGTGTACACGGGCAGTGGGCACACACACGTATGTGCGCGCCACTGTGTACATCAGCAGTGAGCACACACATACATGCGCGCCACTATGTACATGAGCACTGAGCACACACACGCACCTGCGCGCTACTGTGTACATCAGCAGTGAGCACACACACGCACCTGCGCGCCGCTGTGTACATGAGCGCTGAGCACACACACGCACCCGCGCAGCACACATACGCACCTGCGCGCGCTGTGTACATGAGCGCTGAGCACACACACGCACCTCGCGCAGCCGCTGTGTACATGAGCGCCGAGCACACACACGGCACCTGCAAGGCCGGCTACATGTGTGAGCGCTGAGCACACACGGTGATTTGCATCAGCCAATGTGTATCAGCAGTGAGCACACACGCACTCCTACAAGGCCACTGTGGGATACTGCGCAGTGAGCACACACACACGCACTCGCTGCTGGCTGCCAGGCATCAGCAGAGGCACACACACGCACCTCGCGCCGCTAGTATTATTAGCAGTGAGCACACACACACTCGCTGGCCGTTGTATACATGAGCTGGGCGGAGCACATTCACGCACCTGGCAGGCTTGTGTACACATGAGCCGAGCACAACATACCCGCGCCACGCTGTGTACATGAGCGCTGAGTTAACACACACGACCTGCATCGCCATATCAGTAATACTGTTGGACAAAGTACACACGTACCTGCACGCCACTGTGTACATCAGCAGTGAGCACACACACGCACGTGCGGCCCATGTGGCATCATACATGGGCACCTAGGCTCCCTGCTTAGGCTATCCTGGGCACATGTGTGCATGCCACATGGGCACACTTGAGCGCCACATATGGGTATATTTGTGCATCATGGTTATCATACTCAGACATACATGAACACTCCTCACAAGCTCCTGGAGCACACATGGACACTACATGTGAACATATCTGGGTTCCATGCATCAAGAACAGTGGTGTCACATACTGGCTCACACAGGCTCACACATGGGTCCCACACTCACATACACTCCCAGGACACCACCAGCCCCAGTCCCCATTGCAGGTGTGAGGCTCCCTCTTCTAGCCTTGCCCATCAACCCTCCGCTCCAGTGATGTCCATCAGGCCACCAAGTCACGCCTGACTGCTCTGCAAGTCTGTTTGTGCCTCCCTCACCACCGTTCACATGCTGCCTCCTCTCCTCAGGTCTTCATCTCACTCCCGGACCTTCACCCTAGCGTCTCCCTGGTCCCAACCTCCCTGCACATGTATCTGTCCCCCGCACAAGAATCTTCAACGGTTCCGGCTGCATTGATTTTCAAACTAGGTCTGCGAGGGCACCTCAGGGCCTGTTTAACAAACTAGTATTCCATTAAGATTTAGTTTTTTTGTTTTGTTTTGTTTTGTTTTTTGAGACAGAGTCTCACTCTGTCGCCCAGGCTGGAGTGCAGTGGCCGCATCTCAGCTCACTGCAAGCTCCGCCTCCCGGGTTTATGCCATTCTCCTGCCTCAGCCTCCCGAGTAGCTGGGACTACAGGCACCTGCCACCTCGCCCCGCTAGTTTTTTGTATTTTTTAGTAGAGACGGGGTTTCACCGTGTTAGCCAGGATGGTCTCGATCTCCTGACCTCGTGATCCGCCCGCCTCTGCCTCCCAAAGTGCTGGGATTACAGGCTTGAGCCACCGCGCCTGGCCTGTTTTTGTTTTTTGAGATGGAGTTTAGCTCTTGTTTCCCAAACTGGAGTGCAATGGTGCGATCTCAGCTCACTGCAACCTCCGCCTCCCGGGTTCAAGCAATTCTCCTGCCTTAGCCTCCTCAGTAGCTGGGATCATAGGCGCCTGCCACCAGGACCAGCTAATTTTTTGTATTTTAAGTAGAGACGGGGTTTCACCATGTTGGCCAGGCTGGTCTGGAACTCCTGGCCTCAGGTGATCCACCCGCCTTGGCCTCCCAAAGTTCTGGAATTACAGGCGTGAACCACCGTGCCTGGCCACAAGATTTAGTTTTTCAGGCCAGGCAAGGTGGCTCACATCTGTAATCCCAGCACTTTGAGAGGCTGAGGCTGGCAGATTGCTTGAGCCCAGGAATTGGAGACTAGCCTGGGCAACATGGTGAAACCTGGTCTCTACTAAAAATACAACAATTAGCTAGGTGTGGTGGTGTACTCCTGTAGTCCCAGCTACTTGGGAGGCTGAGATGAGAGGATCACCTGAGCCTGGGAGGTCGAGACTGCAGTAAGCCATGATTGCATCAATGCACTCTAGCCTGCATGACATAGTGAGACACCGTCTCAAAAAAAAAAAAAGGGTGAAAGATTTAGTTCTTCCAAAAGAGTTCTTATCTTAATCTATTTGGACTGCTATAACAAAATACCATAAACTGGGTGCTTATAAACAACAGAAATTTTTATTTATTTATTTATTTATTGAGACAGAATCTCGTTCTGTTGCCCAGGCTGGAGTGCAGTGGTGCAATCTCGGCCCACTGCAACTTCCAGCTCCTAGGTTCAAGCAATTCTCCTGCCTGAGCCTCCTGAGTAGCTGGGATTACAGGTGCCTACCGCCACATCTGGTTAATTTTTGTATTTTTAGTAGAGGTTTCACCATGTTGGCCAGACTGGTCTCGAACTCCTGACCTCAGGTGATCCACCCGCCTCAGGCTCCCTGAGTGCTTGGATTATAGGTGTGAGCCACCGCGTCTGGCCAGCAAGAGAAATTTATTTTTCGTAGTCCTGGAGGCTGGGAAATTCAAGGTCAAGGCAGATTCCCTGTTGGGTGAGGGCCTGCTTTCTGGCTCATAGACAGCACCTTGCTGTGTGGCCTCACATTGTAGAAGGGAGAATGGGTTTCTCTCTGACTTCTTTTATAATAAGGGCATTAATCCCATTCATGACGGCTCCACCTCCATGACCTAATCACCTCCCAAAGGCCTCACCTCCTAATACTATCACCTAGGGGGGTAGGATTTCAACATATGAATTCTGGGGAACGTAAGCATTCACACCTTGGCAGTCCCACTGCAAGAAAAGACAGAGAGAGGAGGGGGATAGAGAAAGAGAGAAAGAAAGAGAGAGAGGCTGGGTGCAGTGGCTTATGCCTGTAATCCCAGCACTTTGGGAAGCTGAGGTGATCAGATTGCTTGAGCCCAGGAGTTCAAGGCCAGCCTGGGCAACTTGGCAAAACCCCATCTGTACTAAAAATATTAGCCAGGAGTGACTGTGCGCACCTGTAGTCCCAGCTACTCGGAAGGCTGAGGTTGAGACTGCAGTGAGCTGGGATCGTGCCACTGCACTCCAGCCTGGGTGACAGAGCAAGACCTTATCTCAAAAAAATTTAAAAAAAAGAAAAGAGAGAGAGAAATCTGAGAACTACCAATTGGTAGGCTAAAGTTCAGACTCTTTTGAGGGCCCCACAGTCTGGCCCACACAAACTCCACCCACTCCTGGCAACCCTGTCCTCACATCCTTGGGTTTGCCTGTTTCCGCCTTAGAACATCCAGTCCTCCCACCTAACGCAGTACTTCAAACTGACAACTCCACCGTCCTGCCTTTGAGGCTTTCCTCAAGTCCCCAAGGCAGAAGAGGAAGCACAGACTCCTGGGACTGCCAAATGGAGAGACCTCTGAGGCTGCTCATACTGTCACTGGAGAAACATACCTAGGGTGGGGCTCACGTGCTCACTAATCAGCTCACTCATCAAGCACTTCGTGGGCCTCAGTCCTGTGTAAGATACTGACTGGCTTTCATGGTGACACGAAGATGAATGATGAGTGATCCTCTTGCCCGAGCCACACACAGGATGCACCAAGGAATGAATAATGAATGGCTGCAAACTAGAGCTAGGTTCAGATCCCAGCTTGGTCACCTTGACAGGTCATCCAACCTGTCTGAAACCAGTTTTCTTGTCCATATGATGGGGATAATAATAGTATAGACTTGTTTGTGAAGATTAAGTAAGATGATGCAGACAGTGTGCTTGGCACAGCATCCAGGCTTCAATTATATTCACTGCTAGTTATTATTTCCGGCAGATTCTGGATTGTTTCCTAATAGCTTCAAAGACAAAGTTCTGTGAAGCATTGGGTGTTTGGGGTGGGAGGGGGAATCAAGGAAAGTTTCCTATATAAGGTAGTAAGTAGCTGAGCTGCACTTTGAATATGGGCCGGACATCCAAAAAAGAAAGATTATAGGGTAATCGACGTGTGTTGTTTATTAGCTGTGTGATACTGGGCTAGTCACATGACTTCTCTGAACCTTAGTTACCTTTTCTGTGAAAAACAGTATGTTCATCATTTTGCAGACTGTTGGGAGGGTCAGCAATAGTGTGGCTAATGTCTGTAAAATGCCTAGCATGTAGTAGGTCCTTCTCTGGGCTCAGACTTTTGTCCTCCAACCTCTGGCCCTCCTTCTCCCACCAGGCAGATCTGCAAGGAGTTTGCAGACTTGATGGCTCAGGACCGCTCCCCGCTGGGCAACAGCCGCCCGGCACTCATCCTGGAGCCCGGAGTGCAGAGCTGCTTGACACACTTTAGCCTCATCACCCATGGCTTCGGTGGGCCTGCCATCTGTGCTGCCCTCACTGCCTTCCAGAACTACTTGTTGGAGTCACTCAAGGGGCTGGACAAGATGTTTCTAAGCAGTGTGGGCAGTGGGCACGGTGAAACCAAGGCTTCGGAGAAAGATGCCAAGCATCGGAAATAACTGCTTCTCCCACCCCATCCCTAAGGGGCTCCCAGGCCCTGGAACAGGCACTTAGCTCCTGGGGGTGGGCCTGAAAGGACTGAAAGGTGGGATTAGAGTCAGGCCAGAAAGAGAACATTCATCCAGAGATCCCAGAGTTGGGGATCTGGCTAGGAGTAAGGGAGGGTGGCCTCTCTGTGGTGGTGTGTTGCTAAGTTAAGGGCCCAGGTATTTGTCTCATGTGTGCAATTTTCTGACCTTTGATGGTTGAGAAGGGTTTGAACAGAAAATTGACATGAAAAGGTCTGGCTCATGGGGCAGAGCCCTTTCCATTAGGGTGCCTGGGTGGCCGTGGATGCTTCTAGAGGCCAAAGCCTTTGTGTTTTTCACTGGTGGCAGGAGGGAAATTGATAAATCAGAGGTGCTACTGAGGAGTTGGTGCCCCTCATTCCAGAGTCTCCTACCCCCAGAAAAGGGGTGCTGGAAGGAGGAGGCCCCAGTGGACTCTTTGTACCCCTCCTACTCTTGGAAAGAAGTGGGCAGGAGGGGTCCTCAAGGAACAAAGAAGATAAAGCACAAATTGCAGAACTTGAATCCAGGCTGCTCATCACAGTCCTGTTGCTGTCTGTCCTATTTATTTATGTATGTTGTAATTAAATTTGAAATTTTAAAATGTCCAGTGCAACTTATTTATCCCAGTGAGTTGGGGATTCATTTCACTGTTTTCTGGCCATGCACTGATATGGCCAGCTGGACCAGAAAGGAGAGGGTGTTTTTGCTCACAAAGGGCTGTGGGTGGGTTGGGAGGGAAGAAAGGTGTGTCAGGTGCCCTGTGGTTGTCGCTGGGATCTTGTATTTGTGGTTCTTTTGCCCCTGCAGTTGATGTACCTCCCCATCTCCCCATCTCTCATTCTCTTAATAAAACCTTTCATTGGATATGAAGCCCTCCCTGTCCTTCTTTAGCCCAGGCCTGGATTTGCCTCCCAACAGGGCAATGTCACTGGGGAGAGGAAGGGCCTGGGAATTGGGCAGAGTGTAGGGTGGGAAGGGGCCCCTAAGGGGATGGAGGGGACTGGGGGCCCCTCTGTGTGAGAGGAGGCACAGATGTTGGTCTATCTGACATGTCAGTGTGGCTGTTAGTTGCTGTGGCTGTGTGTGTGTGTCAAGTGAATACTGTATGTGTATTCCTGGGACTTGGTGGGCTGGTGGGTGCATCTGTCAGTTTGGCTATTGGGTGTACAGATTTGTTACCATGCCCGTTGGTGATGTGTATGTGTCAGTGGGAATGCTGGTGACTGTGTGTGTCTGTCAGGCCAACGCTCATCCAACTCTCGTTTTGAGGATCTTCAATCATCTTTTCTGTCCTGTATCATCAGTGTCTCCCTCTCTACGGAATCATTACTGGATCACCCCCCAGAGTACAAATGTTCTAGGATCTCTTACCTTACAAAACATAAATCCTTTCTCCATTTCTCTATTTCCTTTGCAGTTAAAGTTCTTGAAAGATTGCTACACCTATACCTCCATTTTTTCACCTCTGATTTCCTCTTCAATCTGTTTTCCCGACCAGTCTGCTGACGTCCACTCAGCATAGTCATCACAACGTCAAATCTCAAGGCCTTTTTTTCTAGATTTAACAGCAGCAGTCAGTGGATACGGCTGACCACTTGCTCTTTTCTGCAACTCGGTTTCCTCTGTGGCTCCTAACTTCTGGTCTCCTATGACCTCACTCGTCCCAATTCTGTCTTCTTAGCTGGCTACTTCTCTACTTGACCTCTAAATGTTGGCTTTCCTCGGGTCCCTCTCTATCTATACTGTCTCCTTAGATTGGTCTCATTCAATCCCATGTCTTTCAATATCTAAATACTGCCAATTCCTGAATGTTTATCTTCAGCCCAGGCTGCTGCCTGAACTCCAGACTTAGAGGTACAACTGTCCGCCTCATGTCTGCCAGTGTGGCTAATAGGCATCTCAAACTCATGTCCAAAATGGAGCACATGACTCACGTACTCAAATCGTGACCTCTTCCAGAACGTCCCATCACAGTAGATGGTACCACCTTCTACGCAGCTGCTCAAGCCAGAAACTGGGGAGTCCTATTTGGTTCTTTCTCTATACTCAATCCTTCAAAAAGACCTATGGATTCTGAGTCTATCTTCTTTCTTCTCTGACAACACCCTAGTTCTCTGGACTACTACAGTAGTCTCCCAACCGGTCTATTTTCTCTGGTACACCTTCAAAGTCAGGTCCAGCAATGATCTGACTTTGCCTCATTCTCCAGCCTCATCTTAAACTACTCTCTTCATCACTCACTTCGCTCCAGCCACATTGGTTTCCTCTCTGTTCCTCAAACTACCACTTTGTTTTATGCCCCAGGGCCATTGCATTCACACTGTTTGCCTGGATTGCTGTCCCCTTGTCTTTTCAAGTGTGCTGTCAGGGAGATGTTGGGGTGCTTTGCAAGTGAAGGTTGTGCTAGAAACATAGGGTCCAGGCATCATCTCTCAGGATAAGGGTCCAAAGATGTGACTTCTTTTCCCAAGAAGCTGCAGTGCCTCAATGCACCCGTAAGTGTCCAGTGAAAGCTGGACACAGTGGGGCCTCCTCTGGGGGCCTGTCCCTCATGCTAAATGCATGGAGACCCTTGACACGTTTTAACCCTGGCCCTGCCACTCACTTGGTGTGCCACCCTGAGCTTCGGGTCCCCTGGTATGTACCCCCCAGCAGGATGTTAGGTGGTGCTGATACCTCAAGGCAGTATCCAGATGTGGCACTGAAGAATTCTGAATCATGCGGGAGGAAGTTCTGCCTTTCTCCAGTCCCTTTCAATCAGTCCTTCTGGATACATCAAGAAGAAAGTCTCCATTTGGGGCTGGCATGACTTTAACACCTAATATTTGCTTTTCCTCATTTTAACAAAGAGGCTCAGCGCCTTTCCCGAGTATCCCTATCTGGGTTATGCATTCCTTTCTGCAGAAAGGAAGAGAAAGGAATGTGGGGGAAGTATGCTCTGCTCTAAAGTATGCTCTGCTTTAACTGAAGCCTAGGGCCTGGCAAGAGACATCCTGCCTCTAAAATCATCTTAGACTATGGGAAGTTGAGGGGATTAAATAAGATATACAGCACTTCTATATAATGCCTAGAATATAGTAACACATCAATAAAAGGTTATAAATACCCAGAAGAAATTAGTTTATCAAAAACTTTTCATGGGCTGGACAACTTTCCCTAAGGAAAGGTCCATGTAGTCCTCAATAAGTCCTATTTTAGAAACAAGCAAGTTGTAGATCAAAGCAACTCGCCCAAAGTCGCTAAGCAAGTGATCACGCATGTGTGTGATCCGACCCTCCCTTCGTTTCCACTGCATCACATGGCCATCTACAGAAGGGTTCACAGGCAAGGGGAAGCAGGTCCTCCCAGGCCCTTGTCCCCCCAGGCTCTGCTAAACCAGCATATGGTCAGGATAGTTAACAGTGCAGAGGAAGCAGTACAGTATGGACACTAAGTGGCCTAAGAAGCTTCTAATGAGGTCTCAGCATTTGATTCTTCCCATTAAGTTGTTTTTCTTTTCCCCACGGCAAAATAAATCACGTTTTAGCTTCTAACTGGCTTTAGCCCTAAGGAAAAGTAGATGACGATTAAAGTTTACACAGGGGCTCAGTGCAGTGGCTCACACCTGTAATCTCAGCACTTTGGGAGGCTGAGGCAGACAGATCATTTGAGGTCAGGAGTTCCAAGACCATCCTGGCCAACATGGTGAAACCCTGTCTCTACAAAAATACAAAAATTAGCTGGGTGTGGTGTCACACGCCTGTAATCCCAGCTACTCGGGAGGCTGAGGCAGGAGAATTTCTTGAACCCAGGAGGCAGAGTCTACAGTGAGCCAAGATCGTGCCATTGCACTCCAGCCTGGGTGACAAAGCGAGATTCTGTCTCAAAAAAAAATAATAATAATAATAATAATAAAATTAAATTAAAAAATAAAAAATAAAGATACACAGATTGTTTACATGTCTTTTTTTTTTGCAAACAAGTAGTTGTGAATTAAATGGAGAGTGTTTAGACTGGGTAAGCATTCCAATTTGGAGTTTAGACTTTCCTACTTTCTCTTAAAGGATCATAGTATTCCAGAATAAATATGAAAAGTTCAGTCTTTGAAAACATTCCATCCCATGAAGGAAGGTAAGTGAAGGTAAGCTGCAGGTTTCTCCTCCCAAACACACTAACTCATAATTCACACACTGGAGTAATCAAGCAGCAGACATTTAGAGAGAACCCAAGAATGCACATCTTTCTCTTGCTCGGGCACTGCTGCTGCTTTTGTCAAAAGGCCGAGAGGAACAGAAATGAAAGGACTCTGAGCTCCAGGCAGGGCAGATCTAGCGTGGCTGCTCAGCTACCAACACCAAGCTCTTGGGCCATTTCAGTAGCCTCTTCCATCTCTCAAAGGTTCCTGCCTTCCTATCCCCTCTCTAGTAGGGCTGAGCTTCCCTACCCTGAGGCAAAACAGCTGCTCTCTTCTCCAACCTATCCCCCCTCCCACCCCAAGCCTGGGAAGGAATAATTTGTTTTTCTGTGTATTAATCAACTGAAAGCAGATGGGAGCTAATCAGAACTCCATTCTGAACAGTGTTTGGCCAGGAGTGTTAAAGAATGGGTATATTCCCAGTGTTTTTTAAACTTCAGGAAATTGATTTAGGACAAATTGATTTAGGACACAGCTGGCATTTTAAAAACTAAAATCCAGCGGAAGAAAACAGAAGTTACCAGACCACACTATGTCATGACTACACACACACACCCTCCTCTGTAAGAAAAATTCCACAAAGCAGTGCTTCCCCTTCTTGTAGTAGGTATATATAGGTGTGAAGTCATGAGTGAACAACCAAGGCCATGTCAATTTAGTTGGAACACAGGCTTCATGAGGTGTAAAAGAGGGAAAGGAAAGTGGGGAGTTGCGTTAGGAGAGGATTATGGAATGCCTAGCATGTCAAACCAAAGAATTGGGCTTTCGTCTCTAAAGTAATGGAAAATCACCAGAAAGGTTTAAGAGCAGAGAGGAATGGGAACGGATGGTGACACTAGTTTTTTAAAGTATGGAGAGAGACCTGGAGAGGGAAGAGATTAAAAGTAGAGTGAAGTTAGGAGGCTGTTAAATAGTCTAAGAAACGATACGGGGTGAACCAGAGTAATGGGGATGGAGATTTATAAAGATTTAGGCTGGGTGCAGTGGCTCACACCTGTAATCCCAGTGCTTTGGCAGATCAAGGTGGGAGGATCACTTGAGGCCAAGAGTTCAAGACCAGCCTAGGCAACATAGTGAGACCCTGTCTCTACAAAAAATTTTTACAAAATTAGCTGGGTGTGGTGGTACACACCTCTAGTCCCAGCTAGTTGGGAGGTTGGGGTTAAGAGGTTCACTTGAGTCCAGGAGTTCAAGGCTGCAGTAAGCTATGATCGTGTTACTGCACTCCAGCCTGGGTGACAGAGCAAGACTGTCTCTGAAAAACAACAATAAAAAATTGTAATAAAATTAAAAGATTTAGGATGTAGAAATGCCAGAACTTGGTGGCCATGTAGAGACAGCAGATAAAGAATGGCATAAAAATGATGCCCAGCTAAATGCAATGTTGCATCTTGGATTATATCCTAGAACAAAAGAAAATTAGTGGAAAAACTGGTAAAATCTGAATAAAGCCTGGAGCTTAGTAATACTAATACACCAAACAATGTTGGTTTCTCAGTTTTGACAAATATACCATAGTATATAGAAGTTGTTAACATTATAGAAACTGAATAACGGGTATAAGGACCCTGTATTATCTTTGCAATTTTTCTGTAAAACCAAATTTATTCCAAAATAAAACACTTATTAAAAATAAATGATGCCTGGGTTTCTGACTTGGGCACTTGGGAAACCAGGTGGCTCTAATTCTCTAAGACAGAATGTCATAGAGGAGGTTTGGAGAGGGGCAGATGGTAAGGCTCAGTTTTAGACATACTGAGTTCAATGTCCCTAAATCTGGAGGGTGAGCTATCTAGGAATGAGTTGATTTGGAGCTCAGGAAAGAGATCCGGGTTGGCAAAACAACACTGAGAGTCAGGATGGGTTTGCAGGTTGGCCTGAGATTGCCCTGGGGACACTTATATTCAAAGGCAGAGAACCGTATGTCATCCCTGGTGAGGCCTGAATGCAGAAAAACAAGTTTACCAATCATTATACACTTACTGAGCACTTACCACATGCCAGGCCCTGAACTAAATGTTTACTTATATTACCTCATGGAATTCTCCTATCTACATGGAATAGGTGCTATTTCAATCATCGTACAGATGGGAAAATCATGTAGCAGGAGAGCCTGTGCTTTAGTAGCAGAACTCCACTGGGTAGGGCATCAGAATCACCTGTGGCGCTATTTTTTTTTTTTTTTTTTTTTTTTTTGAGACGGAGTCTCGCTCTGTCGCCCAGGCTGGAGTGCAGTGGCCAGATCTCAGCTCACTGCAAGCTCCGCCTCCCGGGTTCACGCCATTCTCCTGCCTCAGCCTCCCGAGCACCTGGGACTACAGGCACCCGCCACCTCGCCCGGCTAGTTTTTTGTATTTTTTTTAGTAGAGACGGGGGTTTCACCATGTTAGCCAGGATAGTCTCGATCTCCTGACCTCGTGATCTGCCCGCCTCGGCCTCCCAAAGTGCTGGGATTACAGGCTTGAGCCACCGCGCCCGGCCACCTGTGGCACTTTTAAAATAGATGCCTTACACCTAGAAATCTAGCTAAAAGCTCAAACCTATGCATATTCATGGTGGTGTTGGAGGTTGAATCAACTGTAGTGATGTGAATCATCTCTTTTCTCCCATTTACTCAACAATTAGCTTTCTTCTTATGGTATAAGGCATTTACTATTGGTGTATTAAACAGTGTATAAGATACCCAAATCTAATGTTAACCCAATACTTTAACATGAACGTTAGGATCAGTAGGTAGTATCTTAGATGACACATTTCATCACATACAAACCAAAAACCTATCTGTATATGGTATTAAGAGGAGCACAGAATTGGATAAAGTAGGGTTTATCCTAGTCTGAGACCAAATGGTTTTGGCATGTGGTTCCTAGACCGGCAGCATCAGTAGCAACTGGAAATGTGAGGTGAACATTCTGAAACACACATCTGGTTAAGAACCACTGTTTTAGTGACTTTAACCACAAAACATCTACATTGTTCCCTAAAGGTAGGCTAAGAGAAAAACGGGTATCTGGTTAACTGCCCATGATACATCAATCTAATGGAAAATTATGCAACTCAACAAGAATAAGCATATCTATGTGTATTGATATAAAACAATTTCTAATATAGTGTTAAGTGAAATAAGCAATATGTAGAACATTAAAAATACTTTTTAGCCGGGCACGGTGGCCACGCCTGTAATCCCAGCACTGGGAAGCCAAGGCAGGCAGACTGCTTGAGCCCAGGAGTTCAAGACCAACCTGAATGACATGGTGAGGCCCTGTCTCCATGAAAAACACAAAAGCTAGCTGGGCATTGGTGGTGTACGCCTGTAATCCCAGCTACTCAGGAGGCTGAGATGGGAGATCACTTGGCCACAGGAGGCGGAGGTTATAGTGAGCCAAGATTACGCCACAGCACTCCAGCCTGGGCTAGAGTAAGACCCTGTCTCTAAATAAATAAATAAATCTAAAAAATTTAAAAGGGGCATGTGTCTGTATGTATGTACACATTACACAGTAAAAGAGTACCTCTTAAAAAACATAAGAAATTAGTAGCTGAAGTTTCCTCCCGGAAGGGAAGCCAGAAGCAGGTGATTGGATTATAGGGATGGGAGAAACATTTTTCTTTTTTTTTTTTTTTTGAGACGGAGTCTCGTTCTGTTGCCAGGCTGGAGTGCAGTGGCACAATCTAGGCTTACTGCAACCTCTGCCTCCTGAGTTCAAGCAATTCTCCTGCCTCAGCCTCCCCAGTAGCTGGGACTAGGGGCGTGCGCCACCACACCCGGCTAATTTTTGTATTTTTAGTAGAGACAGGGTTTTACCATGTTGGTCAGGATGGTCTTGTTCTCCTGACCTCGTGATCCGCCCGCCTCAGCCTCCCAAAGTGCTGGGATTACAGGCATGAGCCACCACACCCGGCTACGGAAGAAATATTTTTCACTACATGTTTTTGTACTGTTTGCATGTTTTATTAAGTGCATATATTATTCATTCAGATTAATTAATTTAAAAAAATTTAAGTTTAAGGGCAAGCATAACCACTACTTTAGAGAGAATGGAGACATTAGCAAGTAAAATATATGAAAGAGCTAGTTGGAAAGGAACCAAGAGTGGAGTAGAACGTGCGGCCATCAGCTGCTAAAGGGTGCTGGGTGTTAATGGAGGGCGGAGCAGGAAGAAAAGTCAGACCTGGCAAAAAGATCATTTTCCCTCCATATCTTTTCTGAGGTAATATTAGGTAAACTGAGACCCGGACCAGAGGGCTCAATTATATCCATAGTCATCTTTATTCTGAATTAACCATTTATCAAGAGTGCACCTGAAAAGAGTAGAAAAAAATAAAGGAGCCCATCAAAAAAAGTTCCCTGGCAAATGGGAGGGAGAGCATGATGTTAGGAGCCCTGTTTGGGGAAGGAAATGTTGTCCAGGTCATGGATGCCATTTTTGTCAATGATTCGAACACTGAAGGTTGGCAGATTCAGGATGAAGCGTTTCTGGAGCTGCAGAGAGACATGGAGGAAATCAGTCAACAAATAATTACTAACTATGTGCCAGGCTCTGTTCTAGACACTGGGGATACAAGCAAACAAAAATCCCTGCTTTTGTAGAACTGAAATTCTATTGGAGGCAGCTGGCAGTAGGGCACTAGTACTCTAGTGGTAGAGGGTACCAAACAGCAGCTGGAGGATCACTGAGAGGCAGGGAGGTTGAAATGGGAGATGCCGCTAAAAGCCTGTCTCTGGTCAGTCAGCTGATGAAAGAATGAGACAATCCAGTGTTCTGTTCCCCACAGTCTGTTACCCATCAGTCTGGTAAACACAGACGTCTCTCTTAAAATGTCTCAAGATAATAAGCTAACAAAACGTGATTGCCCTCAGAACAAAGCAGAGGCCAGGAGCAGTGGCTCAGGCCTGTAATTGGGAGGTTGAGGTGTGAGAATATCTTGAGCCCAGGAGTTCAAGACCAGCCTAGGCAACATAGCAAGACCCCATCTCTTAAAAACAAAATAATGAGGTGGGTGTGGTGGTGCCTGTCTGTAGTCTCAGCTACTTGGGAGGATCGCTTGAGTTCCAGAAGTCCAGGCTGCAGCGAGCTATGATGGTGCCACGGCACTCCACTCCAGCCTTGGTGACAAAGCGAGACCCTATTTAAAAAAAAAAAAAAGGGGAGGGGGGAATGGGGTAGGCACTGTGGACTAAAACCAAAAGGCTTGTGTAAGAGGCAAACTGACATTACTCCCAATGCTTCTGCTCTTATCTTCCTACTCTCTTACTAAACCATGAGTTCAAGTTCATCCTTAAGCCACAGGAACAGTAAAAGAATGAAAAAACTAATGTGGCTGGCTTTTGACCTCCCCATCCTCCATCCATACCCAAAGCCTTAGACTCTAAGGAGAAATATTAGAAAGGGTGTGTTCTGTAATCTTGGCCTCACAAACCAAAGTCTACTCTCGCCTTCTGCCCAAAGCTTCCTAGTTGCTTTCTTTCTATGGCCTTCCTGAATTCTTAGGGAAGGCTTTCTCTCCAGATTACAAAGACTCATGCACTATTAAGGGAGCAGGCAGTATGGCAATTCCAGGTGGCACAAGAACAGAGCAGGTATAAAGTCTAGGGCAGGGCCGGGCGTGGTGGCAGCTCACGCCTGTAATTCCAGCGTTTTGGGAGGTTGAGGCAGGCGGATCACCTGAGGTCAGGAGTGGCCAACGTGGTGAAACTCTGTCACTACTAAAAATACAAAAAATTAGCCGGGTATGGTGGTGGGCACCTGTAATCCCTGCTACTCAGAAGGCTAAGGCAAGAGAATTCCTTGAACCCAGAGGCGGAGGTTGCAGTGAGCTGAAATTGTGCCACTGCACTCCAGCCTGGGCAACAAGAGCGAAATTCTGTCTCAAATTAAAAAAAAGTTCAGGGCAGAAGTTCTTCAAGTACAGCCTCAGTACTTGATGCAAACCTGTACTTTGCTACCACCTGCAGCAAAATCACCTACAATTGCCAGTTAAAGCAGAGCTTCCCAGTTTGTACCTCAGAACAGTGGAATCAGAATTGAGGGTTGGGCAGAGATGACAATCTGTTTTAACAAGTTTCCCAGGTAACACTTATACACACTACAATTTGAGAACCACTGGTTTGGTTAAACCAGAAAGAATTAAATTATAAAGCTGACATTGAGGAGGTAATCTGTGAGAGAAAAATGAGCTTGCTACCCACACCAAACTCTATCCCTGGTAGCAACTTCACATCTGGTTAGTGGGTATGTATTACACCTTCTGGCAAAAATCAGAAAAAATATAACCGAGGAACAGGAACAACACTGGCAAACAGAGACACAAACATTCCTTTCAGGATCCCATGGGAACTACTCACCTCCTCCAGACATTTCCTAAGAAGCTCCACTGCCCTCTCACGTGAGATAGCTGGAAGAGAACACAGAGACCAAGCATTTCGGTGCTGTCATTAAATCCAACTCTCAGCAGCTTTTGATTAAGTTTCAAATCTTAATCAAAGCTGACTTCTTCAGGCCTGAGTGCCACACAAACGGCAAAGGCAAAAAATGCTTTGCCTTCTAGTCTGCAACCAACTTACTCCACATGCAGCTGGGGGTGCCCCAGACCCAGTGCTCCAGCAGCTACAAGCCATTGCAAATTGATTTGCTACACTGAGGGTAAGCATGAAGGAATTCTGCCTCCTCTGGCCAGGGCCCGCCTCTGAAGAAGTCCAGCAGCCTGTCTCTCTTTATCATAACCCACCCCTTTCACTCCCCCATAGTCCAGGGTTTAAATCAATTCCATCTGCCCTAGTCAGCTGCAAATCAGGGAAAGAGAGGACAGGGTCAGAATTTCAGCCTTGTTTTCCCAGCTGGGTCTCTGTTTAACAATGGGAAGAGAATTCATAGGATGGGGCTAAGACTTTGCCAAAACAGGAGCCAGAGGAACTGTCTGTGGGCATGGCAAACTGGGATGACATGTTATGCACTCGGGCTTCAGGGGTGGCTAGTGGTTATTCTGGTGGGCAAATCAGCTGAATTACTGACAGATGCCAAATCAAGAAAGTCACTGGGAGGCCAGGCTAATTCTTTTCAGGATGTGGCCTGGAGCTCTAGTGTGGCTAAGGTTGAGTGAGAGGGCAGCACCAAAGAAGAATGAACATGCCAGATTCTTATGATACTGACAGTGAAGAATGGAATGTAAGGAGAGAAGTGGTTATCTGTGCTTCATCTACAGTCTGTAAAAGCTAAGAATTCCAAAGTACCCATTGCCCACAGAGGCTAAAGTTGAGGTTAGGATTGGGGTCAGAAGATGGAACTTAGTACAAAAACATCCCTGTGTCTGGGAAGTCCTAACCAGAGCACTTAGGCAAGAGGAGGAAATAAAGAGTACCCAAATTGGAAAGCAGGAAGTCAAATGTCCCCATTTGCAGGTGACATGATCTTCTATACAGAAAAACCTAAAGACCCTACCAGAAAACTCTTACATCTGATAAATAAATTCCATAAAGTTGCAGGATACAAAATTAATATACAAAAACCAGTGTTTCTATACACAAAGTAGCTGAAAAAGAAATCAAGAAGGCAATCCCATTTACAATAGATACAAAAATCAAAGAAACTCAAATACCTAGGAAGAAATTTAACCAAGGAGGTGAAAGACCTCTATAACGAAAACTATAAAACACTGATGAAGTAAGTTTAAGAGGATACAAATGAAATGGAAATATACCTCATGCTCATGGATCAGAAGAATTAATATTATTAAGATGACAACACTACCCAAAGAAATTTATATATTCAATGCAATCCTATCAAAACACCAATGACATGCCTCACAGAATTAGGGAAAAAATCCTAAGATTTGTATGGAACCACAAAAGACTCTGAATAGCTAAAGCAATTCTGAGCAAAAAGAACAAATCTAGTAGTTGATACCACTACCACACTTCAAAATATACCACAAAGTTGTAGTAACCAAAACAGCATGCTACTGGCATAAAAATAGACACACAGACCAATTAAACAGAATAGAGAAATTAAGAAATTAAGCCACATATCTACATTTGACTTTTGATGAAGGTACCAAGAACACTCATTGGGGAAAGGACAGTCTCTTCAATAAATGGTGCTAGAAAAACTGGATATCCATACACAGAAGAATAAAACCAGACCCTCACCTCTTACCCTATACAAAATTCAACTCAAAATGGATCAAAGACCTCAATTTAAGACCCAAAACTAGAAGAAAACACAGGGGAAAAGCCTCAGGACATTGATCTGGAAAAAGATTTTATGAATAATCTCATGAACACAGGCAATAAAAGCAAAAATAAACAAATGGGATTATATCAAACTAAAAAATGCTTCTGCATAGCAAAGGAAACAATTGAGTGAAAAGGCAACTACAGAATGGGAGAAAATACATGCAAACTACTCATCCAACAGGGAGTTAACATCCAGAAAATATAAGGAACTGAAATAGCTCAATAGAGAACAAAAATGCAATTAAAAAATGGGCATATGATCTCAAAAGACATTTCACAAGACATACAAATGGCCTACAAGTATATGGGAAAAAAATGCTCAACATCACTAATCATCACAGAAATGCAAATCACAACTACAATGAGGTAACAACATCTCATCCCAGTTAGGAATAGCTATTATCAAAAAGACAAAAAATAACAAATGCTGGCAAGAATGTAGAGAAAAGGAAAAAGGAAATTCTTTACACACTGTTGGTGGGAATGCAAACTAGTATAGCCACTAGGAAGAATAGTATGTTGGTCCCTCAAAAAACTACAAATAGAACTACCATATGATCTGGCAATCCCACAACTGGGAATTTATCCAAAAGAAAGGAAACCATTATATTGGATGAAATCACTATATCACTGGGGAAATACTGCAACACTATTCACAATAGCCAAGATATGGAATCCTGGTGTCTGAGAACAGATCAATGGATACAGAAAATGTGGTAGATATACACCATGAAATACTATTCATCCATAAAAAAGGAAATCCTGTCATTCAATATGAATGGAACTGGAGGATATTCTGTTAAATGAAATAAGCCAGGAACAAAGTTAAAACACTGCACGTTCTCACTCATATGTGGAAGCTAAAAAAGCTGATCTCATAGAAGTAAAAAGTAGAATAGAGGATACTAGAGGCTGAGAAATCCTCTGCAAGGGATGGGGGACATTTGTTAAAAGATACAAAATTGGCCGGGCACAGTGGCTCACTCTTGTAATTCCAACACTTTGGGAGGGCAAGGCAGGTGGATCACTTGAAGTCAGGAGTTCTAGACCAGCCAGACAAACATGGTGAAACCCTGTCTCTACAAAAAATACAAAAACTAGCCAGGTGTGGTGGTACATGCCTGTAATCCCAGCTACTTGGGAGGCTGAGGTACGAGAATCACTTGAACCTGGGAGGTGGAGGTTGCTGTGAGCCGAGATCACTCCACTGCACTCCAGCCTGGGTGACAGAGGGAGACTCTGTCTCAAACCAAAAAAAAAAAAAAAAAAGATACAAAATTATGGCTAGACAGAGGAATAAGCTGTACTGTACTGTTCTATACCACTGTAAAATGACTATGGCTCACAGTATATAGTTTCAAATAGCTACAAGGAGGATACTAAATGTTCCCAACACAAAATGATAAATGTTTGAGATGATTGATATGCCAACTACCCTGATCTGTTTACATGTATTGAAACACCATGATGTACTCTATGAATATATGTACAATTATTATTTGTCAATTACAAAATAAAATTTTTAAAAAGCATCCCTGTATCGGAAGTTTTGCCAAGCTGACGCTTTATGGACAAGCAGAGCGACAGCTTTTTCTTTCAAGAGGGGGCAGCCATTGGGTGACAACCAAAGGAAGGTTCAGATTTGTAGCCTTAGAAAGCTTTGATGTTTAAGCAAAGAAACCTTCAGCTGACATGCTGGGGACCTGTTCATCCTCGCAAGTTCAAAACAAATATACAGCTACTTGCTTTACCCACTCATCCTTTACTGAGATGCCAATAAGCATCTAGGCAAAGCAAAATAAGTGAAAAAACTTGAACTCTTAGAACTGAAGAACTTTAGAACCCAATAAAAATGTTTTATTCACTATGACATCTATTCCAAACCTCCTTCGAAACAAAACCCAGCTCTAGAGATACGTACTATCTCATTTTGCCTGGCAAAAAATGGGACTTACATCAGCTTTTGGAAGACCGACAGAAGAGTGCAGCTTCCAGAGGGGGACCTGCTTGTGCTTCTTAGGATCCATCCTATTCAAGCCCTGCCACCCAACTCCAAGGGTGGACAAACCTGGGAAGCAGCTGAGGGCAGGGCTCTGCCACTGCTCCCTCCCTAGAGTGTTAATACTTACTTGGTGTGTAGTATCGGTCTAGGATACTGAGAGTCAGGAAGGCACCATAGCCATGGGCTGCAAAAGGGGCCTTGGCCAAGGCTGCAAGGTAGTCCATGTAATAGAGCGCTGGCCCTTCATGCTCATCATAGCCAGCCAGGAGGAGGTTCACATGATATGGGGTCTGCAAAGAAAAGATACGGTAAAGTGATAACTAAAACAGAACACCAACATCTCTTCCCATGGCAAATGAGAATATTCTGACTCTTGATGAGAAAGAAAATATTAGCAGCAACTGAGTAAATCACAATGAAGTAAAAATGTCGGGAAATCTAGAGGACCTGGAGTATGGTAACAGGCCAAGGGATATCGGCTTGTTCTCTTCGAACAGAAGGGCATTTGGAGCACTTTAGGTATATGAAAAAGCTGCCATCTTCTTAAAGTCCATGGATGAGAACCTGTATAAAAGCACTTCTTCAAAAGTATTTGATAGCAAAACAGAGTGACTATAGTTAATAATAGCTTAACTGTATATTTTAAAATAACTAAAAGAGTATAATTGGATTGTTTGTCACACAAAGGAGGAATGATTGAGGTGAGAGATATCCCATTTACCCCGATGTGATTATGACACATTTTATGCCTGTATCAAAATATCCCATATACCCAATAAATATATACACTTACTATGAACGCACAAAAATTTAAAACAAAAAAAAAATTTTTTAAGCACTGGAAAGGCAAAGCATAGGTGCTCTTTTGTCATTCCTAATTGTTGAAACCAATAAACAATTCTGAGAGTGCCAGGCCACGGACTGAAAAAAGCAGATGCTCCAACCACATCAAATGAAATAAACAAACTCAGTCTGGGCATCTGGACCAATCCCAAATGGTAAACTGTACGCCCACTACTAAAAAAACAACTTATAGCTGGGTGCAGTAGCTCAGAGGTATAATCCCAGCACTTTGGGAAGCTGAGGTGGCAGGCTTGCTTGAGCCCAGGAGTTTGAGACCAGCCTAGGTAACATAGTGGGACTTTGTTTCTACCAAAACACTAAAAAATTAGCTGGGCATGATGGCACACACCTGTGGTCCCAGCTACTCAGGAGGCTAAGGTGGGAGGATCACTTGAGCCAAGAAGGTCAAGCCTACCGTGAGCCGTGATTGTGCCACTGAACTCCAGCCTGGGTTCAAAAAACAAGAGAGAGAGAAAAGAAACAACTCATGGGGTGGGAGGGATAGTAAGTCTCAAATATTTAAGTCAAATCATCAGACTTAACTGAAAAGTAATTTTGAGACAAATAAAAAGCAATAAAAAATAATTATAACTTGGATTTATAGGTATCCTTTCTTTGTATTACCTGCAAATCTAAAAACATGAGTTTTATAGAGAACCGTGACCGAGTCTGCGTTGCTCTTCATCTCCAAATGGATGATTATTTTTTTCTACACCAGCTGTGCCATTTACCATGTTAAATTCAGTCTGTCTATGCCCCCAGGCATCAGGGGTGGGACTTCGATTTTATATGGCTTTCTTTTTCTCTGCAGGATGTGTTTCTCCTCTTGCATTTACTTCAGCGGGGAGTACGCAGGCCTTGCCCATGGATATGTCCTCATCCCTAAATTTGTGTATGTATTTAATTAAACACACAGTAAGTGAGACACCTCATTATGAAGCATGAAGTGTAATAGCTAATGGTCCTAAAAGTGGCATTTAACATTCTTTGAACACTGATTAACACGGCCACTTGGCAGCCTTAAAAAACTCATGGTTTTTGCTTTTTTGCGGGGAAGGAGTTGGGAGGGAGGGGAGTAACAGGATTTTGTTCTGTTGCCCAGGCTGGAGTGCAGTGGTGCAATCATAGCTCACTACAGCCTCAAACTCCTAGGCTCAGGCGAATTTCCCACCTCAGCCTCCTGAGCAGCTAGGACTATAGGCACCTACCACCATGCCCTGCTAATTTATTATATTTTTTTAAGAGATGAGGTCTTGGCTGGGCACGGTGGCTCACACCTGTAATCCCAGCATTTTGGGAGGCCGAGGCAGGCAGCTTACTTGAGGTTAGGAGTTTGAGACCCGCCTGGCCAACATGGTGAAACCTTGTCTCTACTAAAAATACAAAAATCAGCCAGGCGTGGTGGCACGAGCCTGTAATCCCAGCTACTTTGGAGGCTGAGGCATGAGAATCACTTGAACCTGGGAGGCAGAGGCTGCAGTGAGCCAAGATGGTGCCATTGCACCACTCTAGCCTGGGCAATAGAGCAAGACACTATCTCCAAAATAAAATTAAAAAAAGAAATAAAAAGAGAGATGGGGTCTCACTATGTTGCCCAGGCTGGTCTTCAACTTCTAGGCTCAAGCAATCCTTCCACCTTGGCCTCCCAAAGTGCTGGGATGACAGTCTTGAGCCATCGTGCCTAGCAGGAAACTCATGTTATATACTTAATTGGAATTCTAAGCCAGCTGTGCTAAGTAGGAAGGGTTCCTAACATCACCTGGAGATTACAGAGTGGTCCTCACCTCCAAATAAGTTTCTGTTTTAGTGATAAGACAGTGGGTAGTCCCAGAGAGAAATAAGTTGACCAGCAGTCAAGACTTCTGAGAAGATCATTATCTACCTATCGTATTTCCCAAAGAGCAGTGTGCTGCACTCTGCCAAGCTCTGGAATTCTCTGTGCATTCTGAGTACCTTCTTAGTAAATCTGACCTTAGGCAAAAAACTTAATTCCTATGAGCTTCTGGGTTTTTTTTAACATGTAAAACTGGGTTAATTAATCTTTCTCCTTTCTATCTTCTAGGGAATATAATGAGAAAAAATAATAATGGTAAAGCATCCCAAACTCTGGAAGAAAAGATGCTACCAAAAGTCCTACTATATTAACTACATCCCAGTCTGTTTTTGAAAGCTTATCACTTTAAACAACAACAAACCTGCTTTAATTAGCTCCAGATTTTAACAATGCTATTAGTTATATATAAGTGTGAAAACAGTACTGCAAAATCTGGCAGACATAGAATATCTTGGTGTTCTTACAGTTTAAATTAGAAGACAGAACGAGGGAGGGAGAGGCAGAATAGCAAAGAGAAACTGGTTTCCCTCCCCAAGAGAATTAATAATACAGTCTTTTACCTATCACAAAGTAAGTTAAATCTTTTTGCTAAGAGGATAAACTCTACTCTTCTCTACTAACTAGCCAGAACACTCGCTGTATAGTTAGCCAAGACAATTTCATCAAGTTGCAATGGTATATTAAGTATTCCCCCCAGATACTCAGAGGCCTTAACAAGCAGAACCCAGATGTTTTGTCTTCAATGAAGATCCTGTCCATACTATGAGATTCAATTGTTTAGAACAATATGTTATTTAAAATCCACTACCAGAAAATTCTAGATGAAAAAGGATGTCAACAGAATTCCAGAAGCAAACTGCATCACTTAATTGGTCTATATAGTATCATTTACTCATGCTTAGGCATCTGACGCACACGTACACTTACCAAAGTTGGTATTCAGAAGCTACAACTCCTGGTATTGAAGATAACTCACAAATTATTGTGTGACTTTGAATTATCAACTTTTGCATGTGTGAGATGCTTAAGCATAAATAAATGGTGTTATCTAGACTAATTAAATCAATACATCTGTGCAACAACTTGCAGTTTGTGAAATTCTTCTGACAATGCTCCACCAAAGATCTCTGGCTTGGCTGGGCACGCCTGTAATCCCAGCACTTTGGGAGGCCAGGGTAGGAGGACTGCTTGAGCCTAAGAGTTCAAGACCAGTGTAGGTAAGATGGCAAGACCCTGTCTTGATGGGGGAAAAAAAAAGCTAGGTGAGGTGGCTATTTGGGAGGCTGAGGCAGGAGGATCCTTAAGCCCCGGCATACAGTGAACTATGATGCCCCCACTGCACTCCAGCCTGACTGGCAACAGAGTAAGACCCTATTTCTACCAAATAGAAAGAAAAGTCACTAAACAAATGTGAGAAAGCAGTAAGTGCTACTTCTGAGAAGTGGTTCAAGTTCAAGTCAACTGCCAGCATCTCCATGAATGTACATTTATTGTTGTTTTTTGCTAGGCTTGGGTTCTTCTCTTTCTACCTCCCTCTAGACACAGGGAGCTAAGTAAAGAAAAGCTTAGGATACAGGCTAGGCATTCAGAATTGAACAAAGAAGGGACCAATAGCATAAATAAATAAAGAGTTGGACTGTGACTTTAGAAAAGTTAGTCATTTAATCTCTCTGAATTTTAATTTCTCATTTAAAACACGGGATGATCCCTACTACCAAAGGGCTGCTACAGTGAGGATTCCAAAAGATAATGCATGTGGATAATAAGTATAATGCCCGAAACAGTAAAGACTCTATAAACAATGCAAGTATCAGGAGAAGCCCAATTACTTCTGGCACTGAGATATGAGGGAAATTCCTATGTGTCTTCATAAAGGGATATGGAGGGATGTTAGTGCCCAGCACAGTGCCTGACACATGGCAGAAAAGCAGTAAATGAGTTTCCTCCTCTCTCATTCCTGGGACTCTTTCCAGAGGCCCTAAGGTAATGCTGTTCAGTGTCACAAGCATTTGTACTGGACACTTAGAGCATCCCTACTTCATGGTCAACCCTCCCTAACCATGTCATTTCTTCCCTTGTAAATATGTCTATCCTGAGTGGTAAAGCTACTTTCTAGACACTTTTTCATCAGTTCCCTTTGTTCCCCATGATCAATATTACATACTTAAGGATTTGCCTAATTATTCTGGGGAAATGAAAACATTAATCAATAATGAGAGCACTGCCGGGGATCCTCTTTACAAAGAATCTCTTACAAAGTAATCCTTTGCAAAGATCACCAAGAATCTTTTAAAATGAAATCTCTATTCTGTACATGATATAATCTAGCCTTTGGTTGTCTCCACTACTCTAATTGTTTAGATAGTAAGTCTAAGTAGTAAGACAAAGTTATGAGGTCCCCGAGGGGAAGAACTGTAACATACAAGACTAGGCTTCTTCCACAGCATAAGCTAAGACTGAACATTATATATAGTACTGAATTAACCTAAACATCCAAACATTCATTCAAGTGAACCCAAACATTTAGCTAAGATACTCTCTACCCAAAGGCCTTGGCAATCACCATCGATGGTCTGCAATGCAAACACCAACATGTTTAAAGTTGTGTCTAAT